GTCTGCAGGCACATTTGTCAACCAAATTGGCTGTAATTCGTTATTTGGGGTTCTCATTGTGTAGAACAAATTCCTACCAAAAATTATCTATTTCGATCCACTTTGTGCTAAAGACCTCATATAACCGTACATTAAACATTTCGGTATTTTGGGGCGCCTGAGCACATTTGTCAAACAAATTGGCTCTAATTTCATATATTGTATTCCCATTGCGTAGAGAATCTCTCTACCAAAAATTATGAATATTGGCCCAAGTTTCGGGATAGCTCCCACAGAACCCTACCCTAATTTTTCGATATTTTGCGATATTTTGATGAGGGTTTTCAATGGAATTGGCTGTAATTTAATATTTTGGGTTCTCAATGGGTAGCAAATCTTCCTAACAAATATTATTAATATCGATCCAGGTTTTGGTATAGCCGCCATATAACAGTACCCCGATTTTTCGGTATTTTGCGGAGTTTGAACTCGTTCTTTAACCGAATTGGCGGTAATTTGGTGTTTTGGGTTCTTATTTTACATATAAAATCTTCCTTCCAAAAAAATAACAAAATTGGCCCAAGTTTCAGGATAGTCCCCATATAGCGGTACCTCGCCAATTTCGATATTTTAGGGAATTTGAGTACATTTCTCAACTGAGTTAGCTATAATTTGATATTTTGCTTTCTCATTGGATGGTTAATATTGCAATCCAAAAATTAATAATATTGGACCAAGTTTCGGGGTAGCCCCCATACAACGGATCCGCCAATTTTCCATATTTGGAAGATTTAAGAGACGGTTTTCAACCGAATTGGCTGTAGTTTGGTATTTTGAATATTTATTGGTTGGCAAATCTTCCTACCAAAAATTATAAATATTGGACCTTTTTTTCGATGTAGCTCCCATATAACGGATCCGCTAATTTTTGATAATTTGAGGATTTCAGACAATTTTTTCAACAAAATTTGGTGTAATTTGGTATTTTGGGTTCTCACTGAATATCAAATCTTCATACCAACATTTATCAAAATCGATGACCTATTTGGTATACCTCCCACATAAGGGTATCTGAAAATTTCGATATTTAGGGGAGCCTGGGCGAACATCTTAGATTATCAATGGGTAGTAAATCCCCCCACCCAAAAATTATCAATATCGGTCCAATATTTGGTATAGCTCCCATATAACCGATCCGTCAATTTTCGATATTTTAAGGATTTCAGACAAGTTCTTCAACCGAATTGGCCGTATTTTGGGTTCTCATGAAGTGTCTAATTTCCCTACAAAAAGTTATCAATATCGATACACATTTCGATATAGCTCCCATACTACGGATCCTTCATTTATTTATTTATTTTGTTTTTTACCAATTTATTAAAAAATATTGACATTTTTTGTTCGGCCATGCTAATTAAAATAATTCATTTGACCGCAATCCCCCATCACTTCATTTGTCATGGAAGTGCGAATCGAAAAAACCACAAAAATACAAAATGGACGGATATTGTGGTTATAATATTTCAACAAAAGATAGATTATTTCCAATTTAATATTTCATCATCATCATAATTATTTAGATAATTTCTGATTTTTCTGATATTTGATATTTCTAAACAGTCAATAAATGGCAGCAGAGGCGGTAATAATTTCAATATTGTTACCAAAAATGCCAAACAATCAGATTAGCCAATGATTTTCTGTTAATAAAACGATTAAATTCAATTATCATAACAATATACGACAACATTATTGGAAAAGGGAAGGGGTATTGGTAGTAGGAAGGGGGAGGAGAGGTGAGGAAGGTAGCAGCAATTAGGTATAGTTAGTTGAAATTGATTAGCAAAGGTGAACACACACACAGCCATACACATGAAATTATATTTCAATAAATTGCAAAGCGAGCATGCCAGCGCACGTGTATAATGAAACAATAACAATAATTACAACAATAACACAATTTTTAAATATAAAAAAAATCTTAAAAAATTAAAAAAAAAATAAAAAAATAAAAATTTAAAACAAAAAATAGGAAAAATAATAAAAAATATTTAATTATATAAAAATATAATTTTTAATTTTTTATTATTTTTTATTTATTTTTTATTATATCTTTTTTAATTTTTTTATTAAAAAAAAAATAAAAAAAAGTTTGAAAAAAAATAAAAAAATTGGGAAACAAAAAATTGGGAAAATAATAAAAAAATAAAAAATAATAAAAAATATTTAATTAAATAAAAATATTAAATTATATAAATATATAATTTTTAATTTTTTATTATTTTTTATTTATTTTTTATTATATCTTTTTTAATTTTTTTATTAAAAAAAATAAAAAAAAGTTTGAAAAAAATAAAAAAAAAATGTAAAACAAAAAATAGGGAAAATATTAAAAAAATAATAAAAAATATTTAATTAAATAAAAATATTAAATTATATAAAAATATAAAAATTAGAAAAAAAAAGTAACCTCCATTATTGGTATTCCCTCTTAGAACTCTCTACCACTCTCTCTCTCTACCACTCCATCTCCCTAAGTCTCGCAACTATTGAATGTGGGTCCTAACATGATTCTCCCTTACACCCGGCTGTTAAAATATGGGCCCCAATTCAAACGTGTTGTTATTTTTTTATAAAAGTATTTTGTTTTTGTTGCTGTTGCTGCTGTTGTTGTCAAATTAGAGTTGTCATCGAATGTGAAGCGGAAAATACACCATCCCCACAATAATCAACAAAAAAATAAATATGATCATGAACTTGAACTATTATTATTTTATAAACTACTATGACTAAAATAGTACAACAACAACAACAGACTAAAATAACAAAAACAACAAAAATATTGTTCTTATTATTATGTATTAACAAGTCAACGGCTTTTCGGTTGAATGGCAATAAAGCTGGCGGGCTAGCTGGGTGGCTGAGTGACTGACTCGCTGGCTAGCTGGCCCTATTGACCATATCATCTACAACAACAACACCAACAAAAACATAGAGAAGAGTGAGGGGGCTCCTTTCAATATTTTTATAATTTAGTTTAGCATATCATGTACAACAACACCAACAAAAATATCGGGGAGAGTGAGGGGGAACCTTTGAAAACTTTTTTTAATTTAGTTAACTATGCGATTGCGGATCCATCACTCATAATTTTATTGACGACTTTTTTTTTTTGATTTTTCAATATTAATATTTTTTGTTGTTGTAGATTTTTTGTTAATAACATTGAAAATAAACTTTTGTAGTACCTTAAAAAAAAAAATAATATATATATATATATATATATATATTTGCTATTATTAATATTGTTTAATGTGACGTTTTCAATTACTTCTCCAAATTGCAATCAATGCAACAATTGAAATAATAAAAACACACACATACATACATTTATACAAATTTATTATTAATATATATGTATGCATAAATAAAACAAAATAAAAATATAATTGGACAATTAAGGAAAACAACAGAGCCATCATCGTCAATATTTAAATTGTATATACATATAATTAAATACATTTTTTTTCAATATTATTTGAGAGGCTATATTTTATTGGTTGTTTAAATTTTTGTATATATTTTTTTTAATTTCTTATTATTTTTTATTATTTTTTTCAATATTTTATTAATTTTTTTTAATTTTTTATTATTTTTTTCAATTTTTTATTTTTATTTTTTAATTTTTTATTATATTTTTAAAGTTTTTATTATTTTTTTAATTATTTTATTTTTTTTTTTAATTCTAGTATTATTTTTTTAATTTTTTATTATTATTTTTTTATTATTATTATTTTATAATTTTTTTATTATTATTATTTTATTACATTTTTTAATTTTTTATTATTTTTCTTTAATTTTTAGTATTATTATTTTTTATTAATATTAATTTATTATTTTTTTTTTAATTTTTTATTATTTTTATAATTCTAGTATTATTTTTTTCTAATTCTAGTATTATTTTTTTAATTTTTTTTAATTTTTTATCATTTTTTTAATTTTTTTTAAATTTTTTATTATTATTTTTTTAATTTATTATTATTATTTTTAATTTTTTATTTTAATTTTTTTTATTTTTTTTTTAATTTTTATTTTTTTAATTTTGTATTTTTTTTTTTTTAATTTTTTATTTTCTTTTTTAATTTATTATTATTATTATTTTTAATTTTTTATTATTATTATTTTTAATTTTTTATTATTATTATTTTTAATTTTTTTATTATTTTTTTTCAATTTTTTATTTTAATTTTTTATTATTTTTTTAATTTTTTATTATTTTTAATTTTTTATTATTTTTAATTTTTTATTATTATTATTTTTAATTTTTTTATTATTTTTTTTCAATTTTTTATTTTTATTTTTTATTATTTTTTTAATTTTTTATTATTTTTTAATTTTTTATTATTTTTAATTTTTTATATTTTTTTATTATATTTTTTATTTTTTATTATTTTTTATAATTTTTAATTATTTTTTTTTAATTTTTTATTATTATTTTTTTAGTTTTTTATTATTATTATTTTTTTATTTTTTATTATTATTATTTTTTTTAATTTTTTATTATTTTTTAATTCTAGTATTATTTTTTTTAATTCTATTACTATTTTTTTAATTTTTTATTATTTTTTTTATTTTTTTATTTTTTTTTTTAATTTTTTATTTTTTTTAATTTTTTATCATTTTATATTTTTTATTATTTTTTTATTTTTTATTATTTTTTTATTATTTCATTATTTTTTTTAATTTTTCATTATTTTTTTTTTTTGCCAAATAATTACCAAACCATTGTTAAAAATTATTAAACATTTTAATAACATATTTTTATATTATTGTATATTTGAAATCGTTATTAATTATATATTTTTCCCTCTCTTCTCTTTTCAGAAAATATCTCATCTAATATAACACATTGTTGTAAATATATTAAATATATTTTAAACTAACAAAAAACCAAAATAACAAATAAATAAAAAAAACGGAAAACCTTTTCCCTCCCACCGTATTCAAAAAGCAAATAAATAAATAAACAAACACACACAAACAAACAAACAAACAAATCAAACAAAATGACTGGGTTTACCAACTCTGGATTTGAAAACGATGAACCTGTGAAGGTAAGTTTTTTCCTCTGTTTTTTTTTTTTTTTTTTTTTTTTTTGAATCGCACACAACACATTTTCAAATTAGCTTAATGAAAGGTTATAATTAATAATATACAAACATACATACATATATGTATGGAAAAAATATATGTATGGAAAAAAGTTCATCGAAATGTTGTTTTTTAATTGACAAAAAAAACATATTTCAATATTCATGATTAAAAAAATAAGGCATTTAATTAAAATCGTTTTTAAAATGGCAGACAGTTTTGGGGGTGGGGTTGTATTAATGAATAATAACAAGGGAGAATGATATTTTCAAGTAAAGTCTATATAAAGTCTATTTAATTAAAAAATATTAACAAAAATTTAATTTTTTATTATTTTTTATTAAAGTTTTTTTTTGGATTTGTTTTTTTTTTTATATTTTTTAACGCCGCGAAATATTGGTCCTAGACCCACCTTTAAGTATACCAATCGTCATATCTCGACTAGCTGAGTCGATCTAGACATGTGTGTCCGTCCGTCCGTCCGTCTGTCCATTATAATTTGTAAACACGATACATGCCACAGTTATGAACCAATCTTCACGAAATTTTGGCATGTAGGATGGGTTCTGGCCAATGAAGACCCCTATTGTTTTTGGTAGAGATCGGTTAATATTAGACCAAATAAAAAAGGACCAAATACTTAATTTTTGTCGCTCTAGAGGCTCTAGAGGGGATCGGGCCGTAGAATAAGCATGCCTGTTTGGACAATGATAGCAGGTCAATATTTAGCAGGTCAAATGGACCACGACTTTTGTGTGAAAAATTACAAAATTTGTATTCTTTGGCGTATATATTTACTCCTGAATAGGCCCAAAAAGTTGATAGTATATCCATGAGGTGTGGTTGACCTTTCAATTGATACCAATTATATTGTCGTATGTACTCGGATTGTGGGAGTTACACTTAAATATTTACAGATGCTTACGTATTCAGATATTATTTAGTAACCCATTAACACAATAAACACGATACAGGCCACAGTTATGGACCTATCTTCACGAAATTTTGGATGTAGGATGGATTCTGGCCAATGAAGACCCCTATTGTTTTTGCAAAGATCGGTTAATATTTAAAGGGATGACATTGACAAAATACTTATTTTTTGTCGGTTTTTCTGGTCGCTCCAGAGGACGCGAAAATATAGCCCTGATCGTTTTGAAATGTTCCATGAGGTTCCAGTTATCACCAAAGACAACGGCTATAATGTTCGGTCATGATCAGATCAGATAATTTGCAGATGAAGTGGACCGAAAGCTTATTTATTTTTTTATGTTTTTCAAGTCGGTCTATAGACCACAATTAAAAACCTAACATTTCACCACAACCCATGGTGAAGAGAATATGGACAAGCAATTAGAAGGGCTGTACTGAATATTGGGAATATTCGGAAAAAAAAAGTCAGTGTAAGGAAGAGGTGCTGGTGACCTCTTATTGGGCAAAAGGTTGCAACTATCACGAAATATTGCCCAGGCTCGGAATAAAAGTCCGCAAAAAGTTAATGTTCCGTGGTAGTTGTGTAGGGTATCGTATGGTCGGCCCCGTCTGACTATACTGTTCCGCTCACTGGTTTTATATATTAAGTCGTTTCATTTATTCATTAAGCCCAATAATTTGAATGTTTTGGAAAAAAAGAGGGTGTGTGTAATCGTATCAATCAGACCAATAGGCGTGGATTTTATAAAGAAATTTCTTAAGAGCAATAGGCGTGGATTTTATAAAGAAATAAAATGGTAGAAACGCGCTACCTTCAACCTGAATTAATTTATTTAAATTATCTCTTTATTTTTCTAATTAAAATCAAGTATTTTTCCATGAGAACTATATGTATAAAAAAAAAACTATTGTACAAAAAAAAATATATATTTTATTTACTGGTCTGCCCAGTTTCTTTTTTCTGTTCGTGAATATTTATTGGCTATTAAAAAAAAACTATTAAATGATCTATTTCATTACCCGCTGTTCTAATGTTGTTGTTGATGCTGTTGCAAACTATACATAAAAAAATAATGAAATAAAAAATAACTTCTTACAAAATCGGATATTTCTGGGTTGACCCGGATTCTTTTGCAAAGACTTTTACTTTTTGCTGTTCTGTGGAGCTTGAAAACATTTTTAAAAATAATTTACGCTTAAAATTAAATTAAAAACCAGTAAGGAAAGTAGTAAAGTCGGACGGGGCCGACTATATGATACCCTTCACCACTTTGGGTATATTCTACATATGTATCCAACAGACATATCTTGTTATTATTATAGACGTAATTCAGTATGCTATGCTAAATTTCGTGCAAATCGAAAGATATATAGGGTCTTTGATGCACCAATTACCTTAAATAATATATATATATAAATATATATATATATATATATATATAGGAGCTATATCTAAATCTGAAAAGGTTTTCAGAAAACTCTGCACACATCATTCAAAACTTAATTCAGTACGCTATGCCAAATTTCTTGCAAATCAAAAGATATATAGGGACTTTAGTGGACTATTTACCTAAAACCGGGCGAAACTATATATGGGAGCTAAATCTAAATCTGAACCGATTTTCACGAAACTTTGCACACATCATTCTAGACTTAATTCAGTACGCTATGCCAAATTTCGTGCAAATCGAAAGATATATAGGGACTTTGGTACAACATTTACCTTAAATCGGAGGAAGATATATACGGGAGCTATATCTAAATCTGAACCGATTTTCACGAAACTTTGCACACCTCATTCTAGACTTAATTCAGTACGCTATGCCAAATTTCGTGCAAATCGAAAGATATATAGGGACTTTGGTACAACATTTACCTTAAATCGGAGGAAGATATATACGGGAGCTATATCTAAATCTGAACCGATTTTCACGAAACTTTGCACACCTCATTCTAGACTTAATTCAGTACGCTATGCCAAATTTCGTACAAATCGAAAGATATATAGGGACTTTGGTACGCCATTTACCAAAAATCGGGCGAAACTATATATGGGAGCTATATCTAAATCTGAACCGATTTTCACGAAACTTGGCACACATCTTTCGTGGCTCAATTCTGTACGCTATGCCAAATTTCGTGCAAATCGAAAGGGTTGAGGGTCTAAAGCCCGTAAATCGGGCAAAAATATATATGGGAGCTATATCTAAATCTGAACCGATTTTTCCCAATTTCAATAGGGTTCGTCCTTGGGCCAAACAAATGAGCTGTGCCAAATTTCATCCAAATCGGATCATAAATGCGACCTGTACTTTGTTTACAATTTAACATGGACAGACGGACAGACGGACAGACGGACGGACGGACATGCATAAATCGACTCAGAAAGTGATTCTATGCATATTCTCAAAAGGAACCATGGGTCTATCTCGATTATTTTTGCCTGTTACAAACATATGCACAAAGACATAATACCCTGTACCACAGTGTGGTGAAGGGTATAATCAGCACTATCTTAAAAGAAATTAAATAATAATCTATTAAGAAAATTTAAGATTTTCATATAAAAATATTAAAGAATGATAAAAATATTTATTACCGAAAAATATGATTTATAAAAAATAAATACAAATTTTGTAATTTTTATAAAAAAAAAATTTTATTTTTTTTTTGGAAATTTTTACTTAATTGTTGTTTTTTTTTTTTTTTTTTTTTTGAAGAATTATATTTCTATCAAGTTTATTTCTGTTAATAAAAATATATATTATTTTTATATTTTAATTAAAAATCTAGTATTATTTCCTCACATTCCCTTTAAAAAAAAATAAGCTGTCAAGTTTATTTAACATTTCCACATTTGTTCGATTATGACAGTTGTTTAAATCTCTAGACATTCACAAACTTGATCTGAATGTCTAGAGATTTAAACAGAAAAATTATCATTGAATAACAAATAAATCAGAATTTGTTGCCGCTTAATTAATTAATTTCAAATTTGTTAAATTGAGGAAGTTGCCGGTTTCTTTATAACAAAAAATATTTATTAATATATTCAAATCAATATTTTTAGTTTAATTAATAAAAAAAATAAATTACAAAACATATTAGTAGAATTAAAAGTACAAAATTTGTAACATTTATTGATGTGAGGTTTAAGGGGGCTAAAGCTCCACATCAAAATTATTGTGTATTAAAATGAATTTGTATTTCAAAATTTCTAGGAAAAACATTGGTTAGGCATTTTGCCAGCAACATCTCTTCCGACTACTTAGAATCGATAGTAGATTTGTGTGTAATATTTTTTTCACATTTTATTTATTTATTTATTTTTTTTTTTAATTTAATCACAATTCAATAACAGCCAAGGCATCTTCTCCCATGAATGTTAATTTCTTAATTAAACAATTGATTGAGAAAAAAAAGCATGTGCCTCGGAGAAGCTCCCTCCAATGGAATTTTGCATAAGTAATTGTGTGGCTGGCTCCTGGACTGGCCTGGTCAACACGGTATTGGTGGTGTTGGCTAGCTGACAGACTTAATGTCTGCTTCCTGCCAATTTAGGAAATCATTAATTTTTTTTTTTTTTTTTTGCTCATAAATTGTTTTTACTTTTTTTTTTCTAATACAAATACGCATTGCCCGGTGTTGGGTATTTGAAGAACGTTAGATATTCGTCACAACGACAGCGTGGCAGTCAGTCTGTCATTGATTGTTTAATAAATTATATACTTTGTGGGAATTATCTATGAAATTTGAATTACAAATTACGATTATTTTCCTCTCTCTCTCTCTCTCTCCCCCACACTCTATCCCTCTCTCACTGACTTTGTGTCTCTTGGGGGACAATTGTAACAATTTTTTCTCAATCTAGACAACATTTCACTCATTCCATCAAATCATTTAATATTCGAACAAAACAGAAATACAAACTATAAATAAATGATTTTATTTATTTCGGAATATAAAAATCTGAAATGCAAAAACAAAGTATAACATGCCTGGCAAGGTCAACACATTTCCATTTTCAATT